TGACCAGTGCTGTTTCCGTCCCATATCTGGGCCTGAAACCCAACTGAAAAGGGTCCAGATAATCCGTTTCATCCAGGATCCTTTGGAGCTGCAACGCCACCAATTTCTCAACCATCTTCCCTAAAAGGGAAAGTAGGAGACTGGACAAAAATTGTCCAGTACAGTGGGATCCAGTGATGGTTTCTTGAGGAAGGAACCTTTAAAGGCCACTGGAAACACTCCTTCCCTCAAGGATGAATTCACCATCGCCTGGACCCACCCACATGTCACCTCCCGAGCTGCTTTAACCAGCCAGGAGGGTCATGGATCTAATTGACAGGTGGTGGCATTTACAGCCCAGAGTAAATGCCTGGACCTGTCCATTTCCTCAGGTCCAACAGGATCAAACTACTCCCAGATAACAGGGTGAGTACATATCCCAGGGATCTCCACAGGCCATGCCACACACTTGGTATCCAATTCAATCTTGTATGCTCTTTCCTGTGTCCCATGCAAAATCATGTTATACAAATCGATCCCTTACAGTATGCTTGCAGAATACATAATAGTATCTACATAGTTCAGATATTTATTCATGTAGACTTAATATTTTTCTTTGGTTTGGAAACATGTTCATATATTTGCATATTTTAAGATGCTTTTTTGCAATTAGAGTATTCACTTTTGGGTTAAAGTCTCTATTTTAACTAATATGGGCTAGAGGTCAGGAAAGAATTATCTAGCAAGTAATATAAATAATCAGTACCAAATACCAGATTATGGTTTTTTAGTGGACTGACATCAGTTGACCTGGCTCTTCCCTCAGGCATAAGGCTAGTATGGGGATTGAGCTGGGAGACTCTTTGGTCTGGCGCTTGTGGGGAAGGGTAGCATTGTTTCTATTGATTCTTGTGAGCTGCATAGGATCTTTATATGATATAGGTGACCATATAAGTTGTGTAAATAAATAAATCAGTTGCATTTCTCCTCATATTTATTTTCCTGAGAACAAAGGAGGAGAAATAAGATCAAGCATCTATTCTTAAAGATAGACATGCCATTATACTACTCCCTTTGGGGTAGACAGTGTCATGAAGAGAACAGAAAAGGAATAATAAATACTATGCCAAAGAAGTGAAAAGCACAAGATAAAAATAAGAAGAGGAAGCAAAGCTAAAACCTACTTACACTAACAGTTAAAGCTACAGTTCTTATTAAAAGCTGCTTGGACCTGGTCACCTGCTGGAAGGCTATCCACTAGGTAACAGTTGAAATTGGTAAAAGATAACAGATATCTCAGCAGGGCAATGGCAGAAGGGTTAAGGTGGTGAAGGAAAAGCACATCCTTAGCTGATCTTCCTATTTACTTCTGTTCAATTCCTGTTTAGAGAACTGCTTTGGTGTAGTGGTTAAGGCATCAGGCTAGAAACTGGAAGACTCTGAGTTCTAGTCCTGCCTAGGCACAAAGCCATCTGGGTGACCTTGGGCCAGTCACTTTCTCTCAGCCCTAGAAAGGAGGCAATGGCAAATCACTTCTGAAAAACTTATCAAGAAAACTGCAGGGACTTGTCCAGGCAATCTCTGAGAATTGGGCATGATTGAATGGATTAAAAAAAAAAAATCCTATTTGCAAGAGCTGACAGAAGTTATGTATTTTATTTTATCTTTATTTTATCTTTATTTTACTTTTTAATCTTCATTTTATTAACTCAGTTAGCATACTATCTGCAGGAGGTACCTAAACTTCAAAATTCAATATCACAGCTGCTGCATTGCCATTTATATTGCGTGCTTCAGAGGTTTTTGTCGTTCATCTTCCAGAACAAAAGGCATTCCAACTTTGGGATCTTTAGTGGCCTCTTCTGTTAAGTGAATCAGCTGTTGATTCAGCTGATTGTTATTTACATCTAAAATTCTGAATGGCTCTACATACTGTGTAAACAAGCCTTTCCCATGTGATGTATCATGAACTTATAAAATAGATTCCTGTGGTCTTGCCTTTCTTTTATGAGCCTTTGCTGAGAGCAACTTGGTTAGTAGTTTTTCAAAGCTTTACTGTATTATGTCTTGCTCATTTTAGCAGCCAAATTTCAAAAGTGCTAGTGTTCATCTATTTTACTAATACTTTAAATTTTATTAAAGCATGCTCCATCCTCTGTCCATGGATGGGTCTGACAGCAAAGTTACAACTATTAAATAAAGGGATGCTTGCTATATGATTTAAGTCATAATAGTTACAGTAATCCCTATATCAAAGTTAAATATTGACTGTTCTAAAAAGGAAGCAGTTCACATTTCAAGTACTTTTATTGTTAATAGAAAGCTTCATCACATTTTAGAATAATATACTAAATACTATATAAAGAAGAAGTAATGCCTTTATAATGTGTTACTTATCTTTGCTCCATTATATGACATCGGTTTGTTGACAAATATTTCAATATAAATGAAATCTTTAATTTAGTAGTAGCTTTTCAGTGGTTATATTTTCTTCAGAGAGTAGATAAATTTCATCCCTGTTGCTAAGCCTATGTTTTCTAGAACTGCTCCAGAAATTTTCATATAAACATGGATCCATGTAGTCTAATATTGTACACATGACTGACAGCATCTCTCTGGGGTATTGTACATTGTTATGTGTAATACCCAAGATTCTTTAAGTACTGAGGATTGGATATTATTGCTTTAAGATTGCTTGAGTGTCTAAATTTCCATCTAATTCAGGGACATAGACCCTTACTGTTCCTTATTTTTGTTTTTTAAATTTTCTTCCTAATTTCATTATCCAAGGGCTGCAAGAGACATGGTAGTGGTGCAGTGATGTCATGGGAAAGGATAAAGTGAATTTTGAGCCCTTCTCTCATTTTGGGGGGTTAGCTTTTTTGTTCGTAAGTGGCTATTTAAGCCTGCAATATGATGACGATCTAGTTTGCTTCTGTTTTTGAAGAAAAATCGAAAAGATTGCTCAACTATTATTCTGTGATTTGTCACCAAATTTTGATGACTCAATATTAGGAGGTTGTATATGAACTGAATGGTTTGCACTGCCTAGTATTTACTTAGGATTCCTTTTGTAGGGTTAAGTTAGGTTAATACTATGCTTGAACAGGAGTTGGGTATACCTCAAACAATCTATTATCACTAATTTCAAATCCAAACCAAACTGTAAATTATAATTTA